CGCCCCTCTCCGCACCTGCGTGTAGTGGCCGCACACCTGGCCCGGGTCGCAGGCAGCTGCGCTGAGGTTGTAGTGCTGGCGCTCCTGGTGCCACTCCTCCACGGCCAGCGGCACGTCCATGCCCTCGTCCGTGATGGCGAACAGGTTCTCCCCGCGCCGCCCGCGCTCCGTGTTGTGACCCCAGACGCATTTCTGCGCGTAGGCCTTGGCGAAGGCCGCCAGCTCCTCGTCCCATTTCTGCGGGGGGGAGGGGGGGAAGGGGATGAACTGAGTGAAGGGGGAGGCCTCGGGCTGAGTGAAGGGGCCCACCGTCTCTGGGGGTCAGAGAGGAAGGTCCTGGGGGCCTCAGGTCAGACCTGCCTACCAGCAGTCCTGAAGGAGGGGACTCCTGACCACACCTGTCTCTGTGCCCGAGGGCTTCAGTGGGCTCAGCCCAGGCCAAGGGTCTGTCACCCTGGGTGTGGTATTATTGCCTACCCTTTGTGAAGCTGGCAGGGCGTTGGGAAGGCTGAGTGACTCGCTGTTTGTCTGCGTTATTAACACTCTATGGAAACCGGGGTGATACTGAGATGTTGAAGGCCAGGTGGTTTATTCAACCCACTTCCCTCCTTCTAGCAGTCTAACTTGGGGGCTTGTACACCCTCCTCCCCCCCCCCCCCCCCCCGCCCCTCACCACCCTTCCTAAGTGCTCTGAGGTTCACACACACACACACACACCCTCCCTGCCCTTCCTAAGTGCTCTGAGGTTCTCTGTCCCACAACCCCTTTCCAGAAAAACTGATTGGCCAAGTGCTGGTGGTCTGGTGACTCCTGCCGGTAATCCTAGCTACTTAAGAGATCTGGCTAGGTGCCGGTGGCTCACACATATAATCCTAGCTACTCAGGAGGCTGAGATCTGAGGATCACGGTTCAAAACCAGCCCAGGCAGGAAAGTCTGTGAGACTCTTATCCACAATGAATCACCAGAAAACCAGAAGTGGCACAGCGGCTCAAATGGTAGAGCACTTGCCTTGAGCTGAAGAGCTCAGGGACAGTACCCAGGCCCAGAGTTCAAGCCCCACCACCAACCAAAACAACGAAAAAAAAACTGAGATCTGAATATCTATGAGGCTGGGCAGAAAAGTTTCTAAGACTCTTACCACACAGCCAGAAGTGGAGGTGTGACTCAATTGGTAGAGGGGCAATCTTGAGAGAAAATACCAAGTGAGAGTATGAGAGACCCTGAGTTCAAGTCCCAGTACCAGCACCAAAAAGAAAACAAGAAAGCATTGGGTAAGAATAGAAATGACAGCAGAGGAAACCCAGGAAAGGAAGGATCTGAGTGTGACGTTTAACTTGCTGCCTGTTATTGAGAGTCTTGGTAACCCAAGGCTGTCAAGGTGCCAATGGTGATTTCCTTCCGGGGGCCTCAGATGGGACCCTGGGAGGGAGCATTTTGGGGTTAGAGGGTCTCTGAGGCTTTGTATCCCCGTTGGGGCAGGCAGACAGACCAAGTGTGGGTGGGAAGACAATTAATGAGGCATCTGACCCAAAGGATTGAGGAGAGAGGCCTGGATCCCATTAAACCTAGTCTTTGGCCTCTCCTGGAATGGCTGGCCTGCAGCAACCATGGCCCCACCCTGCGGCTTCGACAGCCAGACAGGCCATAAAGCAGGGTTTTGATGACCCTGGGGGAGGGGAGGGGCGTGCAGCCGCACCCTCGTACTCACCACCCACTCACAGCTTTCAGGGAGCACTTGCAAGGAGGCAGGATGGGAGCACTGGGCTCCATGGCCTCACGTGAGTCCCTTTCCCTCTGGGCATTCACATCCCAAATCCCTGGCTGATGGGGAGGTCCAAGCTAGACTGAGTTCCTTGGAGAAGGGCAATAATGCACCCCAGTATCTGCCATGGGCGCCTAACATATTTGCCTCATCACCAGTGACTGTGACGAGTCCCTGCTTAAAGCAGTCTTCCTGCTGCAATTCTTCTTTTCCCCAGATGCTTGGAGTCTGCCATTACTCATGGCTTGTTAAGGCTTCTCAGTGAGTGGTCCAGGGCCCACTGTGAGGTGGTAAGAATCACAATACAGGCCTACATTGGCCCCACAGTTACCATCAGAAAGGAAGTCCATCCATCCTTTCATTCGTTCAGGCTGGGATGGTAGCAAGGACTACATGGTCATAGTTACCAGCCCATCTGGGCTCCATGGCATATGCAGTACTGAGGGGCACCGGGGCGGGGCCAGGGGTGCGAGGAAGGAGGAGCCCTTAGCTACTGTTAGAGGCAAGGCATTAGCCAGGCAGAGGTAGGATCAGCATCCTGAGCAGAAGTCACTATGGCCAAAGGCATGGGCTGGAGGGCATCAGGGACTAGCAGATAGGGAAACTGAGGCCCCACTGTCCGTCCCAGGCCTCCCTGATGGAAATGTTGGCAGAACTCGTGATAGCATTTGGGTCTCCTGATTTGTCATAGGCAGTTTCTGGTTGCCAGGACCAATGGGGCTGTGAATGCTGCGTGCGTATGTATCCCACACATCACTCTGTCTGACCCACAGGGCAGGAGTGGTTGGACCCAACTTTCAGTCTAGAAACAGAGGTCTTTGGAGGGCAAGCGGCCCAATCAGAGTCACAAAACCACAAAGCTGAGCTTGGACCTGGGGGCTTGGGACCAGGGTTCATGCTGTGTCTCCCAAGTGGGACTCTACCGTCAGGCACACATGACAGGTTCCTGGCTCCTGCCCACCAGCCCGCCAGGCCACAGGAGCAGTGGCTGGGGCCATGGGCCATTCAAACCAGTGGGAGGACAGGCAGGGCAGGAATTCTCACTTTATCTCCTTTACTTCTGAGCTCAGACATCCTGCCCCAACCCTGTCCTCAAATAGCACTCCCTTCCTGACAGTTGTCCCCTCCCCCCAGCATCTGTCTGCATGAACATGGATGCCTGCCACCTCTGGATGCTTCTCTCTCGCTTAGAATTAGTTAGCACTTTGGGTTTTTTTTGTTTTTTTGGGTCCGGTTGTGGGGCCTGAACTCTGGGCCTGGGCGCTGTCCCTCAGCTCTTCAGCTCAAGGCTAGCACTCTACCACTTGAGCCATAGCGCCACTTCCGGCTTTTTTCTTATGTGGTGCTGAGGAATCGAACCCAGGGCCTCAGGCATGCAAGGCAAGCACTCTACCACTGAGCCACCTTCCCAGCCCCACTTTGGTATTTTTTGAGATCTTAGCGGCCCTGCACAATATTACACTCGATGTACGTGAAGCCCTCCTTATGATCCCATTTTACGGATGAGCAACTGAGTCTATGAAGTAACAGGACATGTCCTCGGAGCGCAGGCCTCACCGGTAATGCAGACAGAAGTTGAACTGTGGGAGTGCACAGCCCTCTCTGCTTCTGATTCATGCCCTCAGCCACCCATCCAGCTCCCTTCTTCCTCTCCTCATCTCCTGAAAGACCCTCCCAGGGCCACGTGTGTTTCAGGAAGAGCTGGGGCGGTGTCATTAGAATGAGAATCCCGTGCCAGCTCTTGAGGTTGAGTGAGTCCATCTGGGCCTCAGTTTCCTCATCTGGATAATGGGGCTGCTTATGGAGCCCTGTGAATGATCGAACGTCACTGGCCAGAGAGAGGAAGCTGAAGTAGCTTTGGCGTGGGGGAGTGGGGAGAAGGGCTGGGGGCCGGCCCTGCCCAGCAGCCCCAGCGACCCCAGCAGACGAGCGCCAGCCCACTCACCATCAGCAGCATGTTGGAGGCGGGAGGGGACACCTGGGCGCGGTAGAGGTTGTGCAGCTTCACCATGGCTAGCTTCTCCTCCTCCTTGAGGGCTGCAGTGGCCCCCAGCAGCAGCAGCAGCAACAGGGGCGGCAGCAGGGCCTGGAGGCTGCAGGAGGTGTGCATGGCGGTCAGCCCTCTCTGCCTCTCCTGTCCGGGGGTCTGGCAGCAGGATTTAAGCTCCTTCCCACACAAGCACCACCCTGGCTGGGGAGGGGCGCAGGGGTTGTGTCTGGAGGCCCTGCCCGGTTCATACAGTGTCTCAGGGCGGGCTGGGTGCCTTGGGTCCTGACCAAAGCTGAATCCACTCGCCTAGAGCCCTTGGCAACAGCTTCCTTTCTCTCAGTAAGGCGGGATGGGGGTTGGGGGGGGGCAGGCCAAGAGCTGTGCACGCTCCCCAGTCCCTCTGGGCTGTGCACAGAGACTTAGGGAGCAAAATGACAGGAGCATCTGGAAAGCCGTGGCCCTGACACCCAGGAGCACTGCTGAGCAATGAGGACAGGAAAGGGGAAGTGGCAAAGCCCGACGCTCACAAGGCTCTTGGTAGATTTTTTTTTTTTTTCTGGTCGGCCGTGGGGCTTGAACTCTGGGCCTGGGCGCTATTCCTCAGCTCTTCAGCTCAAGGCGAGCGCTCTACAACTTGAACTACAGCGCCACTTCCGGCTCTTTTTCTTTTTGCTTATGTGGTGCTGAGGAATCGAACCCAGGGCCTCAGGCATGCAAGGCAAGCGCTCTACCACTGAGCCACCTTCCCAGCCCACAGATCTGTGCTTTTCTTGAAGGCCTTAAGCTTAGGGACAAATCTAAGTTTGGGACTCACCTGTGTTTAGGAGGGTATCTAATTGAGACCCAGGCAGATCCCTGAAAGCAAGTTAATATTTGAAGAACTGGGTGCCCCACAGTGCTTAGCTGGGACGCATTACTCCGGTTCATGGAGTTGCTTCCTGCCTTCTGCCTTTGGCTTCTGTGCCCTTGAGCTACAACCCCTCACCTGCTCCAACGCTTCCAGTCAGGCCCAGGTCAGCCGGCCGCACACTGAAGAGACAGGTGTTCTGGGAAACCTTTTCTGGCTTGAGCACTGATCTCCCTCCAGTCTCCCCTGCGATGGCGCTGAGATGGCACTGTGGGGGAGAGGGGCATTTCTGGCAGGGGTGCCATGGTGATGGACTGCAAAAGACTAAAACAGGGTGGGAAGGTGGCTCAGTGGTAAAGTGCTGGCCTCGCATGCATGAGGCCCTGGGCTCAATTCCTCAGCACCACATCCACAAAAAAATGAAAGAAATAAGGGGCTGGGAAGGTGGCTCAGTGGTAGAGCGCTTGCCTTGCATGCCTGAGGCCCTGGGTTCGATTCCTCAGCACCACATAAGCAAAAAGAAAAAAGCCAGAAGTGGCACTGTGGCTCAAGTGGTAGAGCGCTAGCCTTGAGCTGAAGAGCTGAGGGACAGCACCCAAGCCCAGAGTTCAGGCCTCATGACCAGACCCCCCCCCACAAAAAAATGAAAGAAATAAAACACAAAAACGACAAAAAATTACTAAAAAATTATATATATGACATACTTCCTGGCTGGGCAGATCATTTGCCCTGTGTAAAATCTGCGAGTTATTGGGGTGGGCCAGTACGGCAGTGTCACAGTGGCTGTTTTGAACAGGCAGGGGTGCCTGGCACATCAGAGAAGGTAGAATCGAGTCTGCTGCCTTCAGGTTTGGGGTCCATGGCTCCTGAAGAAGATGACTGATGGGATGGGCTCTGGGGACAGAGCCTCAGGGCATGCCTGATGCCCCCAGGAACCATCCCTCCCCCTCCCCCAGGAGAGCTGGCCGCCTTGCCAGCCTGAGTCCTAAGGAGACCCTGGCTCTTCACAGCTAGGGTGTGCCTACGGACAGAGGGTCCTCCCTCCTAGATGCCAAATCCAGCCAACATCCGCAGCGTGGCTGGCAGGAGGCCAGGAGGCTGGGCAGGTGTTTGTGACTGACCTGGTGTCATAGTCGCCAGGTAACCATGTCGTGGGACTCAGTGTCTACCAGGGAACAGCCAAGTGGCAGGATGCAGAGGGTCACATGTTCCCAGCCAGCTCTCTTCTTGTCTCCCAGACAAGAGGGATGCAGGGCCTTCTGTGTTGCTTCTCCTGGTTGTGGTTGGGTGCATGGGTATTATCTGTCCTAATTTTGTGGGTGTGTTTTTATTTTTTTTAATTTTAATTTTTTTTTGCCAGTCCTGGGGCTTGAACTCAGGGCCTGGGCACTATCCCTGAGCTTCTTTTGCTCAAGACTAGCACTCTACCACTTGAGCCACAGCGCCACTTCCGGCCTTTTCTGTGTATTTGGTGCTGAAGAATTGAACCCAGGGCTTCGTGCATGCTAAGCAAGAACTCTATCACTAAGCCGCATTCCCAGCCCATGTGTACTGTTTTTATTTTATTTTTTGCCAGTCCTGGGGCTTGAACTCAGAGCCTGGGCGCTCACTGTCCCTGAGCTCTTCACCTCAAAGCTAGTGTTCCACCCCTTGGAGCCACAGCGCCACTTCCAGTTTTCTGGTGATTAATTGAAGAGTCTCACAGCTTTCCTGCTTGGGCTGGCTTTGAACTGCAATCCTCAGATCTCAGCCTCCTGAGAAGCTAGAATTACAGGTGTGAGCCAC